CGGCGCTGCAGCGCGCAGGGCTCCGACACCTCGTCCCGCAGCCTAGTGCAGCGCCAGCAGGGAGCCGCAGCAGGCGGGCGACGCAGCCGCTCGGCATCGCGGCGCTGCTGCAGCCGCCGCCTGCCGCCCCCCCCCCTCGTCGAGCCGACGCCCCTGAGGAGGCCGGCCACGGCCGCGCGCGCAGGCGCCTCGGGACCTAGAAGATGTGCCCCCCCGAGCCCTTTCCCGGTATATGTCCTTGTTCTTGTTATGTTAAATTGTTCTTCTCTCGCCTTGCTGCGGGGGGGGCACCAGCCCAGGAAGGTGACCTTACGTCCGCCTCCCTGGGCAGAGCCTGGCAACCGCACGTCGCCGCCCAGACAGACTGAGGTTCTGCTGCTGAGCAGCGCTGGCGCCGCTATATGGGCGGCAACCTGCGGAGTCAGGAGAATGCCTGGAGCTGCTCGGAGGCCGTTTGGGACTTCAGAGGCGTCCAGAGGCCCTCTCTCCTTTCGTGGCCCCTCGTGAGGCCCCTCCCCCCCCCCTCCTCCTCTTGGCGTCTGGTCTGCCCTCGCTGGCTCTCGGGGCCCCGCCCTTTCCTTTCGAGGCTCTCTGAGGCTCCCTCCCTCCCCCCTCTCCTCACGGGGTCCCTTGGGCACCTCAGGGTCTTGCTTGCGGGGCTCCCGGGGTCCTCTCCTCTCTTCCCCCACGCCCTTGGAGGCGTCCCTCTCTTCTCTGGCAGGGACCTCTTGGCCTCTTGGGGCGCGGCGCGGTGGAGGGGCGCCGTGAACTCCGCGGGCCTGCGGCCCCCTCGGGAATGCAGTAAATGAGTAAGGAGGAGGAGGAGGAACTGGAGGAGGTCCCAGGTCCTTCTATGTTTTCGTTTGGTAGAGCTGCCAGGGGCGAGAGCTGCCAGGATCGGCTACACGGCAGAGCGGCCTCAGGTGGCCTTTGGTGCGAAGCTTTCGGGGGGCGCGGGGGGGGGCCCACCCGAGCACGCAGGCCGCTGCCGCCGCATCGCGCACGATGATCGGCGAGCCGCGCAGCCAAGGCCACTCGAGCTTGAGGTCATGCTGGGAGGGAGGAGGGGTTGAGCTGCCAGGAGTGGAGGGTGGCGGGTCCTGGAATAATCTGGCCTTGGAAGTTCCTTCGCCGTCATCGGGACCCCAGCGGCTCTCAACGGGCCCGGGGGGGCTGTCAACGAATTGTTGGATCGGTCTTGGGGAAAGCCGCGCGGTCCATGACCCGCTTCCCTCGGGACCCCTCTCCTCATGTCCACAGGGAAGTCACGAGAAACAGGAGGAGGAGGACCCAAGGAAGCCCAGGATGCCTCAACGATGCTGCAATCCACCCTTCCGTCCCATGGCCCCTCCTCATGAGTTCCTACAAGCTTTTCTCACCACTACCAGAGAAACGGCGCCCCCTTGAAAACGAGCACCCCAAGGGCCCCGCCACTCGGGCGAGGGCACCGCTTTCCAAAGAAGCAGCGCCGCAGCCTTGCAACGAGTTTCCAGCGCGTGCGAAAAAAACGACCGTCCGCGCGCGATGACATGTTGAGACCATGCGCAGGAGCGCGACGCCCGAAGGCAGGGCGAGGACTGTCCGCGGTGTCACCACAGCCTCGTGGGTGGGAAAAGTACGAGGGGCGGAGATCTGGCTCGGCGGCTCAATTCTGCGTGGTCGTTTTCATCGCACGCAACCGTATGAAGAATGGGAGAATATGTAATAATTTATCCCGGCAAAGCAACCTAACAGCGATGTGTAGGAGCATCTCTGGAAGCATTCCCCTTACGATTCAGATGAGAATCCAGTTGTAGAATTCTGCTGTTCTCGCAGTCGTAGTCGCATTCGCGATGACAGTCAGTTCTCAGCCTCAGTTCTCAGCTGCAGCAGTCATGTCAGTCGCAGCGGACAGGCAGTCACAGCCTCAGCCTCAGCCTCAGCCTCAGCACAGCCTCAGCCTCAGCCTGCTCAGCCTCAGCCTCAGCCTCTGCCTCAGCCTCAGCCTGCTTCAGCCTCAGCCTCAGTCTGCCTTCAGCCTCGGCCTCAGCCTCAGCCTGCCTCAGCCTCAGCCTGCATCAGCCTCAGCCTCAGCCTCAGCCTGCCTCAGCCTCAGCCTCAGCCTCAGCCTCAGCCTCAGCCTCAGCCTCAGCCTGCCTCAGCCTCAGCCTCAGCCTGCCTTCAGCCTCAGCCTCAGCCTCAGCCTGCCTTCAGCCTCGGCCTCAGCCTCAGCCTCAGCCTCAGCCTCAGCCTCAGCCTGCCTCAGCCTCAGCCTCAGCCTCAGCCTGCCTTCAGCCTCAGCCTCAGCCTCAGCCTCAGCCTCAGCCTCAGCCTCAGCCTCAGCCTCAGCCTGCTTCAGCCTCAGCCTCAGTCTGCCTTCAGCCTCGGCCTCAGCCTCAGCCTGCCTCAGCCTCAGCCTGCATCAGCCTCAGCCTCAGCCTCAGCCTGCCTCAGCATCAGCCTGCCTCAGCCTCAGCCTCAGCCTGCCTCAGCCTCAGCCTCAGCCTGCTTCAGCCTCAGCCTCAGTCTGCCTTCAGCCTCGGCCTCAGCCTCAGCCTGCCTCAGCCTCAGCCTGCATCAGCCTCAGCCTCAGCCTCAGCCTGCCTCAGCATCAGCCTGCCTCAGCCTCAGCCTCAGCCTGCCTCAGCCTCAGCCTCAGCCTGCTTCAGCCTCAGCCTCAGTCTGCCTTCAGCCTCGCCTCAGCCTCAGCCTGCCTCAGCCTGCATCAGCCTCAGCCTCAGCCTCAGCCTCAGCATCAGCCTCAGCCTCAGCCTCAGCCTGCCTCAGCATCAGCTGCTTCAGCCCTCAGCCTCAGCCTCAGCCTCAGCCTCAGCCTTGCCTCAGCTCAGCCTCCTCCTCAGCCTGCAGCCTCATCAGCCTGCTTCAGCCTCAGCCTCAGTCTGCCTTCAGCCTCGGCCTCAGCCTCAGCCTGCCTCAGCCTCAGCCTGCCTCAGCCTCAGCCTCAGCCTGCCTCAGCATTCAAATGTGGCCCGGGAATGGAGTTCTGGGAACTCGAAGAACACGAAGTGGCCTACAGTTGGCTCCGGGCATTCAAAATCATGCCCAGGAATGGAGTTCTGGGAACTCGAAGACCACGAAGTGGCCTACAGTTGGCTCCGGGCATTCAAAATCATGCCCAGTTCTGGGAACTCGAAGAGTGGCTCTGGGAGGAATGGAGTTCTGGGAACTCGAAGAACACGAAGTGGCCTACAGTTGGCTCCGGGCATTCAAAATCATGCCCAGGAGTGGAGTTCTGGGAACTCGAAGACCACGAAGTGCGTTATTGTTGGCTAAAAAAGGAGTCCCCGGCATCCTTCCCCAGATCGCGCCCAGACCCCCTTGGGGCGTCATGATGCTCTCTTTTGCTAGAAACCTATCAGTCTTCGCTGGTAGGTAAAAACACACTGTGGGAAAAAAAACACACAAGAGTCTGTGGGAAAAAAACACACACTGTGGGAAAAAAACATACAGAAACACACACTGTGGGGCAAACAGTGTGTTTTGTTTGTTGTTGTTTCCCACGGTGTGTGTTTTTCCCCACAAAACGTACACTCTCACGAGGTCTCCGGCGAGAGGTTCGCGGTCGGGCCGCTGAGCTCAAGGGAAATATCCGGCGCGAGCCCCATGGTCGAGAGGAGCGGGCCCTCGACCCGTGCAACCGGCATGCGCACAAGGTTCTTGCTTTGCGTGTTTGAAGTCGGGACTTCGCCCCCGGCTCCTGTCCATGGCGTACCCTTTCCTGTGCAAGATCTTCGGCACCGCCTGTACTCTGCACCCTCCCGCCGCCTGAGGCCCCGCCCGCCCGCGCCCTGTCTCCCCAATTAGGGTTTCGCGCGCCCCGCCTAGCTCTTAACCGGAAGGGGCCCGCTCCCGACCCGCCGACCAAAAAAAAAGTTTGAAGTCGGGCCTGTCCTTCTACAGGGGGAATATCCAAAAAACAGTTCAAGAATAGTTTGGGGACGTTTTTCTGTTTTTTGATCATTGTCGGTACATTTTTTGACTGTCTTCAATTTTTGGTCCAAAATCCGCCTGCAGGGGGTCACGCCCGATCCAACGCTAGTTTTGAGGAGGTCTCAAGCCATAGCCCCATTCTGGGAAACCGTCTCCCATCCTTGTCATCCTGTACGAGATGCTAGGACGAATGCGCGCGACGCTACGGCGAGAGCCCCAGTTTGACAATGTGCCGCCCTCCACCCTTCGAACCATCGCAAACGTGTCAGAGGGATGCTGCCTCCCCGTAACTGCTGCAGACGTTTGAAACGATTGTGCGCGGCGCTAAGACGAGGACCACATTTTGAAAACGACAGTCCCTCCACTCCATCAGTGGAAATGTTGGAGCTATTTAGTTTCAGGGCGCGGAAGTTTCAAGCCAAACGTTTGCCCCCGCCTGCAGACATTTTCAGTGGTGCGACAGATGGGAGTTATGCACAAGGAAGAGGGGAAGGTCTTCCTCCGCATTCGTTTCTTGCCCTTCCTGCTGCGCACTGTCACCACCGGTGCGGTTTCGACAACTCGCAGAAGCAGGAAGCACGAGCATCGTTCCATGTCTAGAGCTGTAGCCATTTTGGCTGGCGCAGGGGGGGATTGGGTTGCCTGGATGTCTTGGCAGATGCTGGGTTTGTTTCGAGTGGGATTGTTGCCCAAATGTCCGTCCCCGCGACGTCTCCGCCCCAGGTTCCGTTGCGATGAGACGGTGCTTGTCGGGTGTCGGGAGTATTTGGGCAGCTTGGGGGCGATACGCTTGCCAGAGCGTCTACGGCAGGCTCGTGTCGCGCCGACGCGTCGGCGACCCCAGAGCAGGCGCTCACGGTGAAACGCCGCCAGGGGCCCGGAGTCGGCCAACGTCGAGCGATCTTGCGCGATCGCTCAAAGGCTGAAAGGTCCACGCGGTGCCAGGAGCCACCGGACAAGCCGTCACGACGCGAGCCCTCCGCACCCAGCATCCGCAGACGGGATGTCCGGGGCCACCCCCGAGAGGAGGTCCATGGGCCCGCGGGCCTCCGCGCCGACCTGCTCTCGCCATGGCAGCGTCGTCTGGCGGCGGGAAGGCACGGAGCTCTCTCTCTCTCTCTCTCGCTCTCTCTCGCTCTCCCTCGCTCTCCCTCGCTCTCTCTCTCCGTCTGCTTCTTTTGCGCCGCGCGTTGCCACCGCGCTGGTGCCGCCGCCGATTGTATGTTGCGTCCATGTCTGCGGAAGGCATGCCCAGAGTTCGCAGAGTGTCGAGGTTGGTGGCCTGGTAGGGGTGGACGTGATGATCGGGCCTCAGTGGGCAGTTCGTGTCGCGGGGGGCACCTTTGCGTGTGTCCCCAGCGCTCCTGGGTGTCAAGGCCTGGTGTTAAGTCGAGTGTTAAATCAGCAATAGTGTGTTTATTATCCTAGAGGCTTACGCCATTCCGCCGACCCCCAGAAGAGGGAAGAAGTTCACGGTGAGGCTTTTGGAGACCTTTTGGAGACCGTTTGGGAGCCTCTGTGGGCTCTTCGGGAGCTTTTGGGGCCTCTTGGGCAGTTCTTGGGCGCCTGCTGGCGGTCTCGGGGACCCTTTTTGGGCAGATGGTTCGAAATGTCAGTTTGTCTTACGCGTCTTGGGCCCATCTTGAGCCTTTTTTGGGCCCCCGTGGGCCGTCTTGGGCGCCTCTTGGGCCGTCTTGTGGCCCCTTGCTTGGGCCGTATTGGAGCAATCTCGGGGGCTTCTTGAGCCGTCTTGGACGGACGCTATTTAGACCAAATAAGCGAATATGCTGAACATGTACTTCTTCGTAAGGGAATTGAGCGATTTTTGCTTCTTGGGGTCCTTGCGGGGTTCATCTTGGGGCCATCTTGGGGCGTCTTGGAGGCTTCTTGGGCCGTCTTGAGGTCGTATTGGGTGTTTTTGAGGCCTCCTCGGCGTGTTCGAACCCAGCTTTAGCCAGCTTAGGCGGCATCTTGGGCATCCGGGAAGACACGGAGTGTAGATCTCGAGGCTCCAGAGGCCGCCAGAGGCCCCTGGGGTGCGTCAACGAGCTCCCCCCCTCCACCCCCCCTTCAAACGGCAGTTTGGACCCCAGGGGACGGGGGAAAGGGGAAGGGGGACAGCCAATTATCCCACACGCCTTCTCACCCCCGGCAAGCGGGGGTGGGCGCCTTTGGATCGCCCACTCGGCTACAACGAATTATGGGAAGATGGGATGAGTAAGCAGATAGGGGGAAGGAGGACGTGAGTCACGAGTAATTCGGAGGCGATGGCTGATTGTATAGAATGACGCAGGCATGCTGCTCGTGTTATGACGATGAACACGCGGAAGAAGTCATCGCGAATGTGATCACGCCCGCATCGCATCCCCGAGACTCCGTCGGCAGAGCAGCATTCGATGTCTCTGGGGAGCACTCATCGAATGGCAGCGAGCACGCGAGACCACTTGAACCCGCGTGCTCCCTGCCGCGCTCTTCCTTGCATCTGCTCGCTGCCACCCCGCGTTCGGCTCGGTCCTCCGTGCGCCCTTCGGAGGGTCTGCGCCTCTTGGTTCGAGTCGGGCCTGTCCCTCTACAGGAGTAATATTCTGGTGGCGATGATTCGACTATTTTTGGACTATGCTTGAATATTTGCTTGACTCTGTCTTGTTTTCCTTCCAAAGTCCGCTTGTAGGAGAACATGCCCGACCTAACCCTTGGTCGGCGCTGTAGTGATTCTTAGGCTTACGCCACACCGCCGACCCCTTGTTTATGCCAATCTGGGGGTAGTAGAAGCTGCGAAGGGGTGAAAAGGCGAGTGATCTTTGTTTGGTGTCTGTTCGCCGCCACCGCCAGAGGGTCTCGGGCAGTTCCGCAGGGAGGTCCGAGCGGACAGCGACACTGCGAGTTTGGGAGCCACTCGGGGGCCGTTTCGGAGCCTCTGGGGTGCTTCTTGGGGGTTCCTTGGGGCGTCTGGGCGGCCTCGTGAGGGCCTCTGGGGGCCTCTTGGGGCACTCTTGGGGCCCCCTGGGGCTCCTGGGGGCAGAAAGCTAGAGTTTCAACATGTTTGGTCGCCCTCTTGGGCCCCTCGTGGTGCCGTCTTGGAGCCCTCTTGGGCCGTCTTGGGGACCTCTTGGGCCGTCTTGGGGCCGTCTTGGGCCGTCTGGAGGCCGTCTTGGGGGCCTCTTGGGCCATCTTGGGGCTATCTTTGGGGCCTCTTTGCCCGTCTTGGAGCGTCGGGAAGCCGGAAAGGCGGAAAAGCAAAAAACATCGAAAAACACTCTGGAAAATCAGCAATTTTTGACTCTTTGGGCCCTCTTGGGAGGCTCATTTGGGACCTCAGGGGCCGTCTTGGAGACCTCTTGGCCCGTCTTGGGGCCATCGTGGGCGTCTTGGAGCGGTCGTTTGGCTTCTCGGAGCCTTCGTGGACCGTCTTGGAGGCCTCTTGGGGGCTTCGTGGCCCGTCTTGAAGCACTCTTGGGCCAGGAAAAGCCCCGTGGAGCGCTCGTCCCGGACCCCCCCCCCCCCTCCAAATCGACCGGACCGGGCTCCCGGGGGAGGGGTTTGGGGAGGGGGAAGCATCTCACACGCCGATGATCCCCAAGGGGTCGGCGGATTGGGCTTCGCCCGTTGTTCCCCAATTTGGCTTGCCTGAGGGATTCTTACTTGGTGAAAGGTTGGTGCCTCGGGGGCTTACGTTGACCGTTCCCCTGAGGTTCCCCGGGTTCCTTGGGTTCCCCGCCCCCGCTGCCCCGTATTCTTATTGTGCCCGTTCCCTGGAGGTTCTTCGGGTTCCCCGGGTCGATCGGGTTCCCCGCCCCCCAGTGCCTCGTATTCTTACGGTGCCCGTTCTTCAGAGGTATTGCGGGTTCCCCGGGGTCTTCGGTTTATCCGCTTTGGTTGATGGTTTTCTTTCCCAGTAATGCCAGGCAACGTCAAGCAACGCTAAGCAACGCCAAGCAACGCCAAGCAGATCAAAGCAGTGCAAAGCAACGCCAAACAATAATTGCCAAGCAACGCCAAGCAATGCCAAGCAACACCAAGCATTGCCAAGTAATGCCAAGCAACGCAAAGCAATGCCAAGCCGTACAGCAAAGCAACGCCAAGCAATGCCAAGCAACGCCAAGCAATGCCAAGCAACGCCAAGCAATGAAAAGCAACGCGAAGTAATGCCACGCAACGCCAAGCAGCGCCAAGCAAAGGCAAGCAATGCCAAGCAGTGTCAAGTTGTGCCAATCGAAACTAAGCAATGCAAAGCAATGCAAAGCAATGCAATGCCAAGCAATTCTAAGCAACGCCGCTTAGGAAGCGTTTCCCTAATTGGGGTCGCGCCAGGTTCATCCAAATTTTAGGTGGGAGCGTAGCCGATTTGATCGACGTGTTGTTGGTATTTTGAAGAGGTGGTTACCTTTGAAGATTTGGCTCCTGTTGCCGTTGTTTTTGTTGCTCGGTTCCACAGGACTGCGCTGGAGTGATTCTGGCGCATCGTTGGCCTATCTCGGGCGGGGTGGCAATGGAGGGTGACCCCATTGGTGACCCGAAAGGGGAGTGAAGAAAGATAGGCCCTAAAGGGCCCCTTTGGGCCCCTCTTCTCCACCCCCCATTTAGATCACCCCCCCATGCCGGCGGCGGGAGAGGGGGGCGAAGTGAGAAGGAGAAGGCCTCCTCAGCAGGAGGCGGGGTTTCTCAGAAGCGCTCCGGTTTCTGAGGAGCCCTCCATGCCTTCTGGGGAAGGCTCAGGAAACCTCTCAGAAGGCCAGGGGACTTCCGAGCCTGCTGACAAGGCCCGCCCCTTCTCGCTTGCCCCCAGGCTCGCCGCCGAGTTTGGGTCACCCACCCACCCGTTCCCACCCGCCCGGACATCGCTGGCCTGCCGGAGACGGGTCGGTCGGCCCCACGGCCGTCACATGCCCAGCGCTCGAGTCTGGAGAGGGCTTCGCCTCCGAGGGGTCGCGTACCTCTCACCTCTCTCTTCCTCGGCGGAGGCCGGCAGGAGTGAGCTGGGGGGGCGGCTCCGCAGGCGGAAGGAAACAGCGATTTCCCAAGGTCGGAAGGCAAAAAGCGGAATAGACATCAGCGTTTGGCACTCGCCGCGCATTTCTTGGATCTGCGCCGGGGCCCCCTGGCGGCGCCTCCCGCGCCGCCCCTGGCGCGCTCCGATCCAAGAAATCCGCGCGGGCCTCTAAAAGAAGTCCGCGCGGACCTCCCAAAGTTTCTACAAGCGATTCATGTTGGAGGAGCCCAAGTGTTTGGACCGCGCAACATACAGAGTTTGCCTAGAATTGCAATTTCGACCTTGACAGGTGCTACCCTCAGAGAAGGTTGTGAGCTGAGCATCAAGCCATCTGCTTGCGAGTGTTTGCGCGGGCTCGAAGTCGCTTCCATGTCTGTCTTGCGCTGCAGTTCTTATGCAGTTGCGCTGTCACGCGTATCCGCCACCGCGCCGTTGGGCTGGAGGCGGGAGCTGGGGCTGCGGCCTGGGGCCTGGGGGGGGTCGAAGTGGGAGGGGTGCTGGCCGGGGGCCCACAGACAGTCCCACGGTGAGTTCCTCCTTTTGGTGCCATGCTTTGTCTGGTCTGGCGCTGGGAGCAAACAGAGGGGCGCCTCCTTGGCGTCGACGCGGTGCACGGGGCACTCGACGCGGGGCCCCTGCCCCGTAAGCGAAGCCACCGAGGAAGAAGAGCAAGGCAGGAGAAGAGCCCAACACACGGCAGCAGACTGCACGCACCGGAGCCGCGGCGAAGCGCGGCGGCGGACCGAGCCCCGGCGGGAGGCGGGGTTGCCAGCGTCGGGCCCCCGAAGCGCTTCGGCCCCGGACTTCTTCGCGCTGCGGCAAGGCACGGCGGGAGGTGCTGAGCAGCCGTCCGCTCGGGCTTTCGCCGGGCCCCGGGGGCTGGTCGAAGACGACGCGGGATAGAGGACTGGTCCCCGGGAGGGGGTGCACACCTCCAGGGGCCCACGCTGTGAGGGAGAGGAAGCGTTGGAGTTTTGGGTGCGATGTCTTGGCCGAAGCGAGCACATCCCATTGCTGAGCGCAATGGCAAATCGGCAGCGGTTGTGGCTTGGTGCCGGCAGGGCGCACGGATGACGCAGG